AAAAAAGAACAGCTTAACCCCAGCAAGGTGACACCACTATAGACGTCTCCCTTACAAGACGACGAGCAGCCCGCAAGCGGAGCGCAGGCGTCAGTACAGCTTGGCCTCTTTAGATAAGCCGGGCACGACTACACTCGCCCGGATTTCCAACCAAACACCCTAAGCCCCGAGAAACCTCCGCGGTCGGCAGGTGGCTGAAGCAGCGATCGCCCCGCCCCTCCCGCTTCCACGCCCCCGGTCCCGCCGCGCACTGCCGGGGAGGTGCGGCCGCGATGGCGCTGCCAGCAGGCGACGCAGCCTACTTCCAGAGGGGAAGTCTGTTCTGGTTCATAGTTATCACCGTTTCCTTCGGCTACTACACGGTAAGGACAGCGGCCGCAACTTCCGCGCCAACGGGGAGTAAAAGCCGCGCAGGCGCAAAGGCAATCCGAGCACACGCAGGCGCACTGGTAACCGGGGCCTGGAACAGCCACCCCGACAGGCTCTGAGAATCCGGCTAGTCAGGCTTTTCCTAGGTATGGGCAGGGCGGCCCTCCACCCACTGACTCTTTCAAGATGGTGGTGGCGAAGTCAGAGGCCAGTAGGGATGCCACTGCCTACTTCCGTTCCTCGAGACTTTTGCCCGCGCTGATCACAGTCGTGGGGCTGGGATACCTCACGGTGAGGAATGGGGTGGGTGGCGGATCTCTTTGAGCCCTCCAGGCCCTCGTAGGGCGGAGGGGGCTGTGGGAACGGTGTCTGCGCGTGCGCGTGGTGGTTGCTTAGGTTACTGGTGTACGCGGAAGTTCGGTGGGCTCTTAAAGACCCATTCGCCTTTAGTATACAGTGTGTCCTGCGGAAGCGAACAGGAGAACCGGCTTACCTTCAAAGAGCTCCTGGCCCTCCCGCCGCCCCCTCCCAACCTGTACAGTTCCTGAGGTTTACGAAGCAGCTGGAATTGGGAAGTGGGGATAAACCTAAAGGATGGGTAGGATTTGACTGGTAAGAAGGGACAGTGAGGGTGTAACTTCCGACGTAGGTGTGAAAGAAAGAAGACAGCTCTGCAGAGGAAGAGCAGCTTCGGTTTAGCTGGGCGTTTGTTTAAAGATAATGGGAAAGATGCTGGGAGATAGATTCAGGGCTACATTGGTATAATTATGAATGAAGGCAAAGCTATTTGGATATTACCCAGGACATCATGGCGACTAGGAATTTGGCGTGCCCGTAGTGTCGTTTGTTGGTGTCAGGGATGACTACCTCTGTCCCGGTTTCCTCATATGTAAAATGAAATCACTGAAATGAAATTCTTCCAAGGTGAATTTCGGTTCTTCGATTCTGTGTCTCTGACTAACTAGAATATAGAAGGACGGAAACTTTGGGGACTTCAAACTGGGTTATTGTGGAGCTGGCGGGTGCGCTTTCTGTTCCCTGTGGTTTGAGAGTATTAGTGGCAATTTAATTGCATATGTGAAGAAACGTTGTAGGAAAAATAACATTCTTGACAGGGCTGAATGGGGTTGCATTTTGAAGCTGTTGGTACTTAATTATTCTCAGAAAAACCTAAACTGGCAGAGAATAAATACCAGGTGGAAAATGAAGAAATGCTGATAATTTTACTGCATAAATCGTATGTGATGGTGCAAACTGCTATTAAAATTTTCCAACTCTGAGCTGCCATATGCTCCATCTCTGTTCAGTGGATCATTCTTAGTTTGATGGGTACAGTAAGGGAAGGAAGAGGCAGAAGTTCTAAATTAAGCGGGGGTGGGAGCTGGGGATTTAGCTCAGCGGCACAGCACCTGCCTGACAAGCGCGAGGTCGTGAGTTCGATTCCCGGTACCAGGAAAAAAAATTAATTAATTAATTAATTAAGTGGGGGTTTGGTTCAAGTCATAGTTTCTGGTGTAAGAACCTGCCAAGACACAAACTCTTAAAAAGTTGCTGGTCACCTCTATAATGTTCTGCTGAAATTCATTAGGAGTCAGCCTGGGCGCTGAGTCTGACAACCGTATATTTTCCTCTGTAAATCCCAGTAAAGTTACTCTTAGAAAACAAAAGTCAAAAATAGAGGAGAGTCTGGCGTGGTGGCGCACGCCTGTAATCCCAGCACTAGGGAGGCTGAGGCAGGAGGATCGTTGGGAGTTCGAGACCAGCTTGGGCTACAAAGTGGGCTCAAGGCCAGCCTGAACTGCATAGTGAGACCCTGTCTCAAAAAGACCAAAAGAAAGAAAGAAAGAAAGAAAGAAAGAAAAGAAAAGAAAAGGGAGGAGCAAATGATTTGGATCAGTGTCCTTGGACTGTAGTTGTTTGTGTACAATCAGTATTATATTACAGTTGCTCTCAAACATGTTCTGATCTTTGAACTTAATAGATACTCTGTGCTTTGGGTTCTCTTTCAGTGGGTTGTCTTCTGGCCTCAGAGTATCCCTTATCAGAGCCTAGGGCCACTGGGCTCCTTCACTCAGTACTTGGCGGGCCACCATCACACCCTCCTGCGCAACGGGTAAGGCTCACTGCACACCTGGAAGGCCTGCGGGTGGCGTTAGCTGTCCAACAGCAAAACTAGTTCACGTTAAGACACTTTTCTTTTTAAGTCATCTGTGGTAATTTCATCACCTTAAGATGGAAAAAACTTTTTTTTTGGCTTCAGATACTGGCTTGCCTGGCTGATTCACGCTGGAGAGTCCTTGTATGCCATGGTGTTGTGCAAGTAAGTCTCTGTGCCTAAGCTGAGAATAGTTACATTTGAATAATTCAGGCACTTGTAGGCTGAGAGCACTCTCAGGGTAAATTTGAATCCCCATATCTAATGCTGAGCCTGGCAGAGAGAGTACTCAGTAAATGTTTGATGAATGAATTCCGTCTGTGTTGGGTCATTAATTGTTTGGTTATTTAGTTGAGATGACTGTCGTTATATTTTTAAAACTTTCTATAAAGCCCCAAATAGAACAAAAAATTAAGTCTTCTAGTTTGAAAAGAGCTATAATTATTGACAGGCTGATGATTCTAATGTTACTTGACAGCCAAACCACTTGAGTAACTTTTTCAAAATATGCATGTCTGATTTCCAGACCCAGAGATTGATTGAGTTGGTCTTGCTTCTGACATAGGAATGTTTTTCTTAAAGCTCCACGCACGATTCTGCCCAGCGTGATCCTGTACAAGAGCGTGCAGTTCCCAGTGCTCTCACCCAGCAGGTGGATCCGGTCCTTACACTTCTGAATCAGATTATGAGCCTTTCTCAACCCCCAGGGGCCTGGTGTCCATCTCCGGGTGCTTCAGTTGAAGCAATTCACTTTGCTTGACTTACGATAGGAAATGCTGAAGTACTGTATGCTGTTACCTCTTTCCATTGGCCTGTTCAGCCTCACAGTGAAGTCTTGCCTTGGGGGTGTTCCATGCAGCCCTTGAACTTAAAATGCAGCAGTCCTGACACTGGTTTTTATATTGGCATTTGGAACCTCTGATGAAAACCAGAAGACTTCCTGCCAGGCGTGGTAGCACACACATGTAATCCCAGCTCTTGGGAGGCTGAGGCAGGAGGATTGCTGCAAATGTGAGTCCAGCCTGGGCTACACAGTCAGTTCAAGGCCAGCCCGAACTACCTAGTGAGGACTTGTCTCAAAAAAAAATTCAACAACAGCAAAAAAACAAGCATTGCCATTCACAGAGCCTAGTATTCCCAGGTGGCAGCAAATCTGTAATTTCCTTTCATAAGTACTAAATTTTACATACATCTAGGATAATGTAAGTTTGTTTTCTATTTGTTCATTTCAGAACCCCCATGTTTGCTGATCAAAGTTATACATGTTGTGCTAAAACCTCAGAAGCACAATTGAAAGTGGAGGTTTCCCATTTTCCCAAAGTCATTATTAAGAGTTTAGTGTATATCACTGTAATTTATAAACAACTTTATATACAGCTACATAATGTCTTCTGTAGCATTTCCCCGTTGTTATATGTGCCTGTTTTTCCATGTCTACACCTATAAATCTACTCCGTCCATTAATATTAGTCCATAGTATTCTATTACATGGATGTGCCTCAGTGTCTGAGAAATCCCCCCAGTGATGGATTTCTAAGTGTCTAGAATCTCCCTTTTCACACTTACATTCTTAATGTACTTGGAGTTGATTTGTTCTGAGAGAGAGCCTCAGAGAGGGCATTTCCAACTTTACCTTTCTCTTATGGATGCTCCGTTACTGCAGAGCCATTTATTAATCCGTTCACTGCCCATTATAGTGTCCTCACACATAGGCAGTTGCATGTGTGACTCTGTTTTCTTTTTTTGGAGACAGGGTCTCACTGTGTAATTGGAACTGGCCTTGAGCTCACTCTGAAGCCCAGGCTGGCCTGGAATGCACAGTGATCCTCCTACCTCAGCCTCCCAGAGTGCTGGGATTACAGGCATGCACCACCACGCCCACTTTAACTCTCTTTCTGAGCTCTCTATTATTTAAAAGAAAAAAATCCCAGCACTCAGAAGAATGAGGCAGGAAGACTGCCATTTTGAGGCTAGGCTGTTCTTCATAGCAGCCCTGTTTAAAAAAAACAAAAAACAAAAAAACAAGCTGGGCGTGAAGGCTCAGGCCTGTAATCCCAGCACTTGGGAGGCTGAGGCAGGAGGCTCGTTGAGAGTTCGAGACCAGCCTGGGCTACAAAGTGAGCTCAAGGCTAGCCTGAACTGCAGAGCAAGACCCTGTCTCAAAAAAAAAAAAAAAATTGCTCTTTTTTTTCAGGTACAAGGGAATCACAGACCCCCGGGCCCGGCTGCTCTGGTTCCTGCAGACTTTCCTCTTCGGGGTGGCATCTCTCTCCATCTTGATTGCCTACAGACCCAAGCGCCAAAAACGCACTTAGAGGAGCTGGCCCTTCAAACCTGGTTAAACCCTCCAGCTGTTCCTGTTCCCCTGCCGTTCTCTGGTTGAGCTTGACTAGACCAGTGTTACTTAAGAGAGAAATAAGAAACAGGTGTGGCTCCCCATTTCTGCAGGGCCACCCGCTAGGCAGCAGCTTCGGCCACCTTGGAGCCCACGGCTTTCCTGGGCTCCGCTGTCACCTACGCATCAGATTTGCTTGTTGGGGTATATTGCTCCCCGACCCTCACAACCACCATTCGGCTCTGCTTCCCCAAATGTTTTTCCCTTTTTCTGGACCAAGCAACACCTGCGTGATGCGTCAGTTGCATGTCCCTTTGTTAGGAACCTCTGAGGCAGGGTTCTCATCTGCTCAGACTGCAGAGAAAGCCAGGGAAGAAGGTGCCTGGCACGGGGCCGGTACATGGGGACCCAGGAGTGGACGCTACCAGCCGGAAGTAATCCGTCCCTGCCCGTGGCCCCTGGGGCAGAGCACTGGGTATGGCAGCGTCTGGTGGCCACAGCTAGACTGTTCCAGTACTGTAGGGCCACACAGTAGACCCTGTGACATTTTCCCAGAGGTGTCCCGTCCCCACAGCACACTGGCACTGAGCGCTTTCCGTGTCCCTCAACAAAGGAAGGACGCTGATCATCTCACTTTCCACTTCCCTGCCATTCCAGTTTTATGCGAAACTGCAAAGCCGCTCAGCGTCCCTTCATCCCATCGAAAAGGCACCAGCCTGCCCTGGATGGGTGGGGCCCGTTCTAGGCTCCTCTGAGGGAAACCTGGGTCTTCTTCCTGCTTTCCTGCTCTCTGTCACTCTCTCCTTCCTGCACCGGATTCCTTAGTCACACACCATCCCGTTCTAGAGATCTGATCACGTGTGTTACCCGCTTGTTCCCGCTCCCCCATCTGCCCATAGGGGAGGGAGGGCCACTGTCCCTCTCCTGCCCTGGCAGAATGAGGAGTGACTCTGTCCCTCCCCAGGCCCTTGTCTCGGGACTCCTCATCTCCCTTCCATGGTACAATGAGGCAGCAAACATGTATGAGAAACAGCTCACCCCACAAACAGCCCCACAGTGCAAGTGCCACCTGGAAGGTTATGGACCATGGATCATTTTTTGCTGAGATCAGTTTTGGGCCTGGTGTGGTGGCGCACACTGGTGATCCCAGCACTCAGGAGACTGAGGCACGAGGATCGCTGTGAGTTTGAGGCCAGCCTGGGCTGGATAGTGAGACCCTGTCCAAAAACCAAAAAATTTGGAAACAATATCTCTTCTCTTTCCCTTGTCTAAAGGGTTGCTTTTTGCTAAAGAAAAAGGAATTTTGACAATGGAGTTCACCATGATGGAAATCCAATCTAGATATTTTTAAAGCATGGACCTCTGCAAGGGCAGATTATGGGGGGAAAAAATGGGCTGACTTGAATAAAATGAATTGTCTCCAACCAGATGCTTTGCTTGCTTGCTTGCTTTTTTGTGTTTGTCAGTTTCCATATCCTGCCACACATTTGATTCTTTTCCTCAACTAGGCTCTATTGTGGAATTGTTTGTACAATTCGAGGATCCGTTTGTCTGTCACTGATAAAGGCATGTTGCCCTGGTGGTAGAATATATATTTCTTCCATCTGCAGAACTGCCCACGGCCCGCAGAACTCCTCCCTTCTCTGTGAGGTACTGGGGTGGACACCAGTGCCTCTTCACTGTTCCACCATATTTTTTTCATTGAGAATTTTATTTTTTTATTTTTGATATAAAGTCTGGGAAAGTTGCTAAAGTGCCCAAGCTGGAGTCACACCTTTGATCCTCCTGCATCAGCCTCCCAGAGTGGCTGGGATTATAGGTGTGTGCCACCATGCCCCACTGGCTCCCTTTTCTTAGAGAAAAGTATTTAGAAAACTAGCTCTGGTGTATTCCCTGCTGGCTCAGGGTATCAAAGAGTTAGGGAAATTTATTCTTTAAAAATCATGCATTGATCCCAATACTGTACTTTAATTCTCATTGTGTACCACAGTGGTTCCCTGGCCCGGAGCCTCCTGCTCCCTCTGCCAGAACCCTGGTTCCAGCAATGCATGTGGGGACCCTCCCTCAAGCCTGCCCTGTACACAGCTTCATCATAGAAGCCAGTATTGCTGCAAACAACAACTTGTCTTCAGAGTCTTATCCTTATGTCAGGGAAAGCTATCTTTTATTTATTAAATGGTACTCAGTTTTAGGTTTTTCTTTATCTTTTTTTGTGGGGGCAGGGTGTTGAGACAGAGTCTCACTATGTGGTTTAAACTAGAATTAAACTCACTATGTAGCCCAGGCTGGCCTCAAACTTGAGGTGATCTTCCTGCCTCAGCGTCCTGAGTGCTGGGAGTACAGTAGTACACCACCACATCTGCCTTCCCTAAATTTTATACTAATATCCTTCCTTTTTTCTTTTTGGAGACAGGGTCTCACTGTATAGTTTCAGCTGGCCTCGAACTCGAAGTGATCTTCCTGTCTCAGCCTCCCAAGTGTTGGGATTACAGGTGTGCAACACCACACCCGGCATGACATCTTTTAATATATAAGGCATAGGCAAGGACAAAAAGGCAAAACAGCTGAGCATGGTAGTGCATGAGTTCAAAGCCAGTGTTGACTATATAGTGAGTTCCAGACAAGCATAAACTACGTAGTGAGACCCTGTCTCCAAAAAAAAAAAAAATCATTGGGCATGGTGGCAATGATCCCACAGCACTCAGGAGGCTGAGGCAGGAGGATCTCGAGGCAAGCCGGGGCTACATAGCAAGACCTTGTCTCCAAAAAAAATAGAAGAAAGAAAAAAGGCAAAATAATATAAAAAGGCACCCTTGGAGAAGCCGCCTCCCCCTCCCTATCCCTTCCACCTCATTCCTGTCCACCCCTTATTAGAGTGGGAGGGGTTAAAGTGTGCATCACAGGAAATCAGCTTATGAGCTCACAAAGACAAATTGGCCCCCTCCCCATGGCCTCCAGCCCAGCAGGTATAACCCATCACTCACGCGCTCCCAGAAGAGGACCGGACACACCAGTGCCATGCGTGCTTTTGTGTTCCTCCTGAGCACACCGGGCTGTGGATGGCCATCCGCGCTACTCCCCTTCCTGCTGAGGAGTGATAAATCTGCCGTCTCCCTAGTGAGCAGGCAGCAAGAGCGTGGAGCAAAACGCCCAGGTTAAACTCCCTCTGCCCCATCACCAGGACCCCCGCACCCACTGCCTTGTGTTTACATTCCAGAGCAAGGCTCCCAGGCCCTTAAGAGAAACTTTCCTGGGGAGTAGCATTGTCTAGAGACTTGTCTCAAATTTTAGAAGGTTCACATCCACATCAAATGGGATATAAGGACTCATAAATCAAATTTTCTCAGGAAAATGCCTAAAGAAAAAAAAGAAGGGGTTGGGGTGTCGCTCAGTAGTAGAGCAATTGCCTAGCATGAAAAAGGCCCTAGGTTCAGTCCCTGGTAGTTGAAAAAAAGAGAGAAAGAGAAGCAGGAAACATCTGTTTTCCTTTAGCAACAGGGAAAATACGTGACTTTTATTTACCCTTCCATAAAAGCATCATTAACTTCTGGTGTATCCTTCCGATGTGGATAAAAGCAAATGCGTGTAAGTACTCTTACTTCCCCTTTCTCCTGCACCTCGGTTCCTGAAAGAGATGCTCACCCTGGAGCAGGTTTTCCTCAACACATCTAACGGTACTGTGGGAGCCCGTGCCCAAGAGGGTAATAAATGCCGCCAAGAACCAGATTTTCAAGACCTTTGTACTTTCTAACCCTCCACAGAGTCCTCAGCAACTTTTTGTTTGTTTCTGTTTTTTGACACAGGGTCTCACTATGTAGTTCAAGATAGTCTTTTTCTTTTCCTCTTTTATTTTTTAACTTTAATTTATTAGTACATGTGGGAAGTTGGTACATGTACACACACCTTAATTCCTTTTCATCCCTCTTCCCTTCCCCCTCCACCTATCTCTTACCTCTCTTTTTTGTACACTTTTTTTTTTTTTTTTTTGTCTTTTTGAAACAAAAAGGGTCTCATCATGCAGTTCAGGCTGGTCTTGAACTCACTTTGTAGCCGAAGCTGACCTCGAACTCTCAGCGACCCTCCTGTCTCAGCCTCCCAACTGCTGGGATTAGAGGCGTCTGCCACCACGCCCAGCTTCTACACTTTTTGTACATATTTGTAGCACATAATGTCTTGAACTCACTGTGCAGCTCCGGCTGGCCACAAACGTTCAGTGGTCATCCTGCCTCAGCCTCCCAAGTGCTTGGATTACAGGCACACACCACTATACCCAGTGACTGCAATTTTAATGAACTGGAATTAGTCACCCTAAAATGATCAGAAAACTTTGGTGCATGCCTGTAATCCCAGCACTCTGGAGGCTGAGGCAGGAGGATAACTGCAAGTTCGAGGCCAGCTTGGGCTACAAAGCGAGTTCAAGCCCAGCCTTAAGTGCATGAGAAGGCCTGTCTCAAAAAGACAAAAAATAAAATAAAATAAACCAGAAAACCTAAGCTGAATTCATTCACCTTGGATTTCCTGCTACCATACTGGGATATGAAGTCACCTATTCACAAATTCTGATCAGGGCAAAAGTCCCAAAATCTAGGAAAGATTAGATTTACATGAATCTTGCGGGAACCCTACATCCCAAGGAAAAAGCACAGTAGCAACACCGCTACCTGCCTAGAAAGTAGATAAATAACAAGTCACATTTCACCCATCATTGTCCTTGTTGTTGTTTTTCCTAAAGAGCAAAGCCAGGCTGGGCCCGTCTGTGACAGCTCTGTGAACCACAGTTAAGTAACTGTATCACCTTGTGTAAATTATGTCCTTCTTCGGGTCTCAGCATCTCCTCCCTCCTGTTTTATTTCCCTCTATCCCCATTTCCCTACTGTCCCCAATCCTACCAACAATTCCAATGCATTGGATATGCATATGTTCTGGCAAACATATACGGTTTTATGTGTATTTTTTTATTTAGGTGAATAGTAGTGTAATAATACATTTCTAACTGAAAGGCTCATCCATGTTGCACTGTATCCACTGCTGCTTGACTCTGAGATTTTGGCTCTGAGGACTCTCTTGAGTACAGAAGCTGATTTACCTGATTTGCATTTAATTCTTCCCAACTTGCCAATAAGAGCTGAGCTGCCCGCATTCCACACTGCTGTCTTAAAGGTGGAGAGAAATCTGTCTGCGGTACAGTGCACGAGCCAGCAGAACTCTCCATCCTTTGTGAACGAGATGGGTTAACAATAAAGCAAGCCTGGGCTGGCCAACTCGCAATAGCTCATCTTGGAAGCCTCTAAACGTCTGTATTTTGCTCGGCTTGGCTAGACTTGTATTGAACTACCCACAATCTGAGCTAAAACCCTGACCACAAAGATGATGCTCATCAGAAGACGGGAAAGGACTGCAGAAATACCCACCAGCCTTGTTTTACACCTTGGGAAATTGAGGAAAGTAACCTCCAATGTCACACAACCAGTTTGGTGGCAAATCTGGGTCCCTGGTGTCTTGCGGTTCACAAAGCCGCCTGCCAGCCGTGTTGGCAGAGACATCTAAAGCAATGCTCTCAGCAGCCTGCCTCATCTCCCAAGTATTTTGCGAATATTCTCCAAGAACAATGCATTAGGATAGAATAATTTCTGTCATTGTTAGCTGCCTTAAACCCCTGCATCCTGTTCATGTTCCTGGCGCCTGCCCTTGATACGGTCTCCATAGCAATGCACAAATACTGCGAACACTCCGCAGACCCCTGGGGCTTTCTGGTCATTAGTTAAAGGTGCAGCAATAATATGTTGCACATGTCCTCAGAATGGGGGTATTTATAGCATTTATGAAGCTTCACCATCTGCACAACCAGAGTTTATGGGCTTGTGTTCTGGGTATTAGAGCATTTCCTAGGAAACCAGTAATAAATACATTATGAAATTTCACTGTTCAAAGTGTCACTAGTGTTATCCTGGCACAGTCCTGTCTCTTGCAAAACACACTTTGACCAGAGGGAGGTTCCTTATGCAATCCCACCTCGTCCCTCAAGTCTGCAGGAAGCCAGCAGAGCAGCTTCTATTGGAAACAACCTAAGTGCCCAACCACTGAGGAATGGATAAAAAAGATGTGGTATTTTTATACAATGAGGTATTACTCAGCTACAAAGAAAGATAAACTCGAGGTTTTGTAGGTAAATGGATGCAACTAGAGACCATA